GTCGAGGACTACCTGTAAAAATGATAAAATGCCAAATGGGAAAATATTGCCCAATGTAAGGGAAGAATCAAATTCTTTGGGCCCTGAAGAAAGCTGGATGTTTAGATCGATATACATCTGGGAACTTGCTTCTTTTTTGCTTCTCAATTTAAAGTCCCGTGGACTTCAACTCCCAGAATTCCCCAGCTGGCCATGCCCGCAATGTTGCTGTGAGGAAAAGAGGAGGAATAATAATATAATAATAATGCAAAAATAATAAAGTTGGGATACAAATAAACAAACCAACTTTAGGATTGGTTGGCACCTTGATGGCCTTCCTTGCTACCTTTATATTTTAAACTATTTTATTCCAGTTTTTATCTGCTTCTTTTTTTTTCTTTTTATCTTTTGAGGTAATGTATTTTTACATGGATTTTAGGTTTTAATTGTACATTGCCCATCTTTTGTGAGTGAGAGGAATGGCATCTAAATTTGACAAATAGAAAAATATAGATGAGTTATCTTTTTAACCATCATAATGTCCCAGTGGTCTGCAGCAGCTGGATTTCGCTCAAGCCAGCCCCAGATTAGGAATTATCATAGTAATAAATCCAGGGAATAGATTGCAATTTCCCCCCCCTGCTATCCAGGAAAAATCTAGAGAATTTTAAAAAGAATAAATGAAAATACAGGTAGTCCTCGACTTGCGACAACAACGGAGTCCAAAATTTCTGTTGCTAAGTGAGAAACCGTTAAGTTCCATTTTACAATCTTTCTTGCCACCGTTGTTAAGTGAATCGCTGCAGTTGTTAAGCTAGGAATCCAGGGGTTAAGCAGATCTGGCTTCCCCATTGACTTTTCTTGTCAGAAGGCCGCAAAAGTTGATCATGTGGCTTCAGGACACTGCAACCGTCGTAAATATGAGTCAGTTGCCAACCCAAGCCCCTGAATTTTGATCATGCGACCGAGAAGATGCAGTAATGGGTGTAAGGGTGTGAGCCTTTGAACGGTCACTAAGTGAACTCTTGTAGATATCGGAGGGGCTCCCACAAAGATGACGGAGTCAAGCTATTCTCCAAAGCACCTGAAGGCAGGACAAGAAGCAACGGGTGGAAACTAATCAAGGAGAGAAGCAACTTAGAAATAAGGAGAGATTTCCTGACAGTTAGAACAATTAATCAGTGGAACAACTTGCCTCCAGAAATTGTGAATGCTCCAACTCAGGAAGTTTTTAAGAGGATGTTGGATAACCATTTGTCTGAAGTGGTATAAGGTTTCCTGCCTAAGCAGGGGGTTGGACTAGAAGACCTCCAAGGTCCCTTCCAACTCATTCTATTCCTTTCCTTTCTATTCCTTTCTATTCTGTGTCCTTTCTACTAACCAAACATGGAGGAAATCCTCTTCTAAAACTCAGAGCCGTTTCTATTTTTGTATCTCCCCGTATATTCATTTTTTTTTTCCTCCTCTGGCAAGGATGAACAAACGCAGAGCCCAAACAAGAGCTCTTGCGTCTTTAATCCATGTAAAGATGAGAGAATATGGATAGCTGCAATATGTCTTGCCAGCATGACAGAAGCTACAACTAACCAGCACCGAGATTATGAAGCATTACCTTATCGGTTCATCATTTAGTTGTGTGTATCGTAGCAGAGTTGGGCGGCTCAATTTAAATCCGATCTGGGGTCAGGAGGATATGCCATCAAGTATTAATCTATTCTGTCAAGTTCCACCCCCATTTCCCCCCCAAGAAATATATACGTAAGCAACGGTGACAAATAACTTTTCTCCATTGGTCATTTTTGCATGCATCTTCCTTGACTCCATGCAATTTTCCACATTTCTGTTGCGCTTATTCAGCTTCTCCAAATGCCGCGTATCTATTTTTGATGCTGGGATATATTTTTAGACAGACACTTGCGGGATGCTTGAATTATTCACCCAGCTGCCTCACCGTGGATTTAGCTGATTGCATCATTCTAGGAAATCCGCTGGTTTCTTTGGCATCTTGTGATATGCACATCAGAAATTAGGAACATACAAGGAGCCCATAAACTTGCAGCCACCGTTGAGCCAAAAATTTCCAAGATGGTTAAGTGAATTTCTGCCCCATTTTACAACCTTTCCTAAGAGAACACCTGAGGTTGTTAAGTTAGACACACGGTTGTTAAGTGAATCTGGCCACCCCCATAGATTTTGCTGGTTAGAAGATTTCAAAAAGTAATCACGTAACCCAGAGTTGGTATTCAGCCAGTTCTGACAGGTTCTAGAGAACTGGTAGAGGAAATTTTGAGTAGTTCGGAGAACCGGCAAATGCCACCTCTGACTGGCCCCGCCCCCATCTATTCTCTGCCTTCCAAGCCCCAGCTGATTGGCTGGGTCTTCTTTGGTTGCCCTGCACAGGAGAACAGAGCTGGAAAGCAGGTTAGTGGGATGGGGAGGGAAGGGGGATTTTGCAGTAACCTTCCCCTGCCACACCCATCACACCACGCCCACCAAGCCACGCCCACAGAACCGGTAGTAAACAAATTTGAATACCACCACTGACGTAACCCTGGGACACTTCAACCGTCATAAGTACATGACAGTTGCCCAGTGTCTGAAATTTGAACACGTGACCATGGGGATGCTGCAACAATGTGAAAAATGATCTGAAGTTACTATTTAGTGCTGTTATAACTTCAAGCGGTCGCTAAATGAACGGTTGTAAGCAGTGGTGGGATTCAACTGGTGTAACAACCTGTTTGGTGAGCGCGTGCGCTTTGGACAGACAAAGGCAGGGGTGGGTAGGCGGGGCCAACTAATTGCCGGAACTACCGGTTCGCCCGAACCAGTCCAAACCGGCGGAATCCCACCCCTGGTTGTAAGTCAAGGACTATCTATATGAGTCGCAGCTACCTAGATCTCATTGAAATAAAAGCTTTCTGATAAGATTTCTACGTAAACCGAACAGGCTAGCAAGTTTTTTAAGAGGAGGTTGGACAGTCACTTCTCCTATGGGTAGTTTAATTGAGCAGTCCAGAAGGTTGGAGGAGATAGATCGTCCTTGGGATGCATTCCAGCTCTACAATTCTATGTTTTAAGCAGCTATTGGATGCTAATGGAGGGAAACCAATCAAGGAGAGAACCAACCTAGAATTAGGGAGAAATTTCCTGCAAGCTTAGAACAATTAATCCGTGGAATGACTCGACTCCAGAAATGGGGGCTGCTCCCTCGCTGGAGGTTTTCAAGAAGAGATTGGACAACCATTTGTCTGAAACGGTATAGGGCTGTGATGGTGAACCTATGGCACGCATGCCACAGGTGCCACGCAGAGCCATTTGTGCGGGCACGCAAGCCCCAGCCAAACTTACCTGCACATGTGTGTGCCTCCCAGCTGACTTTTGGCCCATTTGTGGCCTTTTTCGCTCTCCCGGGGGCTCGAGGAAAGCCTCTGCAGCCTTTGGAGGCTGAAAAACGGGCCCGTTTCGGCACTTCCGGAAATACCGGAAGTGCTGAAACCAGAAGTGTCAAAAAGGGGCCGTTTTTCCGCCTCCAAAGGCTGCAGAGGCTTCCCTCAAGCCCCCAGGAGGGTGAAAATGGGCTCCAGAGGCCCTCTGGAGGCTGAAAACGAGCACTTCCGGTATTTCTGGAAGGCCCATTTTTTGGCCACCTGAGGCTGCTCGAGCCTCCGGGAGGGCGAAAAAGGCCTCAAATGGGCGGAAAATCAGCTGGGAGGCATGTGCAGTGCAGCTAAGGGGGGAATTGCACACGCATGCGCAGGGCGTCACACATTGCATTGTGGGTGCTGGCACGCACATGCTTTCGACACACCACAACAAAAAGGTTCATCATCACCGGTATAGGGTCTCCTGTCTGAGCAGTGGGTTGGACTAGAAGACCTCCAAGGTCCCTTCCAACTCTTATTCTGTTGGTCTATTGTTGGTAGCCCTAGCCTATCCATTACATGAATTCTACAGAATTCATTTGCTTCATTTTTCGTGGCTTTGCTGATTGAAATGATTTAATTTACCTGGTCTGGAGACAGAAATTAGTTTACATAAGGTTTAG